TTTCTTTTCCAGGTAAGAAAAAATTCATGTTTTGGTTATAAATTGTGACTCCAATAGAGTAAGAAAATCCTTGCGTAAGACCTTCATTTAGTCTAAATGCTGAAGAGCTACTGGAATATACTTTAACTCTGCTCGGCAATTCTGCAAATAGACAAGTGATGATAGCTTTCATAAAATTGTATTTATATTTTTGTCTTTCATTGTATCTGAGAGTTAACTAAGGGTACTGAGTCAAATTACCTTATCAGATCTATAAATATGATATGTATCCTCCCTGTCTCACTTATTCATTTTTCAGTCATTTGTTATAAACAATTAAGCTATGAATACATGATTCTCCTGTTTCCAAATCTACTCTGTCTCCGGTTCCTTCAACTCTCCAGTTTGTTGGTTCAATATCTGGCCATATAGTCTCCCAATTGAACTTGGTAAGTATGCCCCTAGTAATTTTCACCTTCAATTTTATTGCCTTTCTTGTAGAAGAAATAAATTCCATTTTCCATCTTTCAGGAATTTAAATCTCCTTCCAAACATGTATTGAATAACTGAAATTTTGTCATATGGGCATTTGAGGAGGCTATTTTAAATGAAATTCTATTGAGATTCCTCCTGGTCCCAGAGCTCTGCCATTTTTCAATTTCATGACAAGCTTTGTTGACTTCTTCATTTTCAAAGTCTAATGCAGGTCCAACTTTCAATGTTTCTTTTTCTTTACCTGAACAGGAATGAGTCATTTCAAAAAACCTACTTATTTCTTATCCCCTTTCCCTTCAACGTTCATTTTTTTCGTCACATTTCTTTTAACATTCTCCAGTATCTCCACATATCAGGTTTATCTTCATAACATCCTAGGAAACAACCACTGTTCCATAAACTTATTTTACTTTTACTTTAAAATTTTCATCAAGCACATCACTTCCACCATTCCACATTTTTACGGTGATCCTTTCCTTTCATGGCAATAGTAATTTTGAAGGCTTTTTGATGATTTGTTAAGGCTTCACAACATTAAACTGACCCATTTTCTATTTGCGTTACTGAATACCTTGTGCCACATTATAATTGGTATTTAAACCTGGTCAGAAGAATTTTCAAGCTTGTATACATCAAATATATTTTTTTGAGACACTATTTTTCTTGTCTAGATTTTGATTTACATAATTTATTATTTAAAAAGAACAGGTGTTTATTAATAACAAGTAATCTGAACAAAATCTGCACCCGTAATTACCCTTGCATCTAAAACGTTGGTATTAGTGCTGTTTCACAAACCAACATAATCATTATTGCAAAATAAGTTTCTTCTTGATTAAAAACCATGTGTTTGGTGGTATGTCTTGTTGATAAAAACCATCTGTTTCAAAGAGAGTTGCAAAGAGAGAACTGATTATAGGATTTCAATAAAGATCTTTATTGATTGTATCCCCCCTATGACACCCCTGAATCAAATCATTCTGGATTTTTACCCAACTCTTGCATTAAAGTTACTCGTAAAAAAAATTTATTTGGGTCATTAAGTTCATTTAATACTGTTGTCTGTTCCTCTTTCAAAATTCTCTCTCATATTTTGGGAGAAGGGGAAAAAACTGAATTACTTGTATAGTACAGTAAGCAGATTATTACTTTATATACTTTACCGATTCTGCTACCAAATGAAAATTTTAGCCAATTAAACCTCTGGAGTTCATGGCCCCACATGGGGGATTTGTATTCCTGTCAATGCATTTATATACATCGTATATCTATATGCTACATTGATCAAACATATTTAAAAATTTTTAAAAGATGGCAGACGGATATCTGCACCAAATGATTTAAATATATGACATGTCATGTTGATGAAACATCTGCAGATGGAGATTTCTCCTCCCCTGTGTTGTCATTGTATTATCTTTGCATAGCAAATATTTAAACTTTATATTGAGAGACCAGTTGAATATAAAACAAACAAAAAACAATGAAAGGTAAATGATTATCTAGAATGGAAAGTTTGCGTCCATTAATGCCTTATCCACTCAAATTGGTATGCTTTTGTATTCGGTCACCTATTTGAAGACCTTGAAGTGCCTCCGGAGAAATACCAGTGAAAATATCTGGAGTTCTTGGAATAAAGAGAAAATGGGTTCTCATCTGCCTAGAGCCCCAATTAGAATGGAAGTACCTACATAATAAGTTTGATATTTCAAAGTTTAGAAAACATGTCGATTACAACAGTTATTTCTTTTAAAGATATTGAAAAATTTATGATTGCCCAACATAACTTCACAGATTTTATTGCTGGTTCCTCATTTATTGCTTTCCTGTGTTCACAAGCTTTTATTAGTTGTAATTCAACAGGTACAAAATTTATAATTTTACTATTCATCGAATCGGGTCATCATGAAACTGACCTGTTGGACTTTATAAACCTGTTTCTAGTTGTTTATACAGCATTCTTGTAGATATTAGCCATCCAAGTGTTTGTGTTGCTACCTCGTTAGTGGTTCTGCCTCTATTTTGACCATCTTGGTTGAAACTTCCAGATCATTTGGCAATCTGTTTTTGTTGTTTACTCTCGTAAGATAATCTTTCCATCTTCCTTTGAGACTGTTTTATCTCTCTCCTAAGCTTTGGTTGTCCAATTTCTTTCTGATGTCTGATTTCATTCTGTCTCTTCTTGTGATTCCCATGAGGTGTCAGATATCCGTATGTGCCACCTGTAGTTTTTGCTTCGTCTCTCTCTTTCATTACCCATGTTTTCAAAGCCATACATGATTCTAGTTTACCACTGTAATGTGCAAGTTTCAGGATTTCCAGGTCCATGTTCTCTACTAAAGGCTCTTTAATTGTTTCCTTAATTGACTATTAGTAATAATGAATAAAAGACACATCTTTTTAAATATTATTGTGGGATTTTAGGAATACGCATTCTTAAGCAAAACACCACATGTCAAGAAAGAAGTTGGAATAATGCTCTTATTTCAATTTAACTTTAGAAAATCCAAAATGGATGGGCAGTCCCTCATTGGTATGAAGTGCAATATAAGGTATATACATTTTTTATTGCTAAAAAATATAATTCATTACCATTTTCATTTGTCTGAATACAACTGCTGAATAATTTACTTATTAAGTATTCCTTGGAATAGGAAAATTTCTGCAAAGATACAAATTCATCTTGAGCATTTTTGTTTCAGGAAAATGGGGTATGAATTGATTAAATGTTACGAACAAAACATTCAATTCAAGAGATAGAATCAAGGTCCATAGTTGTAGCCAATGGTAAACGGATCTACATGTAGGCACCCAAATATTTGCTGAGAATTGTGTTAATATGTGAAGTTTTAATAGTTATCAAGCGTGATGCAATACCCACAGTGCAATTTGAAACTCAGTGCCAAGGTATTGCAACCTTTTTGAAAAACACAAAAATTTATTTTAAGGGCCGCCTCCCTCCTCCTTGGGCGCTGTTAAATTGAATAATCCTTTTTAGCATTAGTTTTATTGATTAAAAATTGCTTTTCCGTCAGTTATACATTGTCATTTTAACACTTTATATAAGATGCCATACAAACAATTCTTAATCAATTACATTTTTAACACTGAAGTAGCCAGTAATTATCAAAATTTCTTAAGAAAATGAGAAGAACAATATGCATTAAATTTGGGAAACTGTTCATCAATTGTATCAAATTGGGTGATGAAATAATTCTTAGAGGTGAATTATTTTGAAATAAATGTTTAAAAGATGTTGTTGTTATTAGTTACCAAACTCAAATGGAACTACAACATTGTGAGCAGTAATATCACGGTCATCAAGATTTTCCATCACTTTGGATGTTAAGTACTTTAAAATTACGTGAACAAAAAACCCATTATATTACCACCATACCCAATATATTACCTAATATATTATACACCATAACAGAGTAGAAACTAAGAATGTTCACTGTTACTGCCACAACAGACTATTTCCTAAACATCGCTTTTCTAAAAGAGATAATGATAAACTAATAAATAATTTGGGCTGCAAGTATCCTGTTCACAGTGACAAATGGTGCCCTCTAGGTTATATGAAAATAATACTTCAAGCAGCAATGGAAAACATTTCTCTCAAGAAGTTATTCTTTCCCTCAATTATACTGTTTTCTCAGCTTTTACTGCCAGCCATCAATTTTACACAGTAATATGTATGTGCCCAAAAAACAAACATGGAAAGCACCTTGCCTCTTTGCCATTTGCAGTTACTAACAGAAGCGAGAAGAAGGTATTATTAGCATTATTTGAAAATATTAACTTTTCATACAAAAATCATTATTTCATTAACAATAAATAACTGTTCATACAAATCATTTATTTTCATTTATCAGACGCGATACGAAAGTGTCGGGAGGGAGGAGGGCAATTACCTTATTTGTCCAACAGGACTTGGGACAAGACCATAAACTTACCGGTTTATTTAAAATTAAAAATAAATATTAGGCGTAGTTTAAATAAAAATATATGCACAATTTACTATCAATTTTCAAACCATATAACGTCAAAAATTAATTCAAATGTTGCACAAATTGTGTATAAATCTATTCTATCTGAGTTGGACAGTATGTGATAAAATAAAATGACATAATAAAATGAAAATAATTACATATTCACAGTCGATTTTCTGTTTCATAGTTCTGTCAGAGTAATTAAATTTATCACACTTTTATTTTTTCGTAAAGTTGAATGAAATCATGAAACAAAAAATACCCTCTACAAAAACTAACCCAAGGTGGGAGGACATGGCCTCCATCCCTCCCCTCCCCTGTATCCGCCTATGAAAACGCCGAGAAACCCTAGAATCTCTCAGGGCAGCGACTCGCGGGATTCCTGTAGACAGAAATCCGCGACGTGTCTTCAGCAATGAGCTACAATAAACTACACAGAGTGGCTGAAGCGTCTCCATCTTTGAAGCAAATTTACATGTTTTTTGCAGCCAAAACATAGCCCCCTGGGAAACGAAAGTATTCTAGCATTATGTTTGGCACTGGTTATGCGTGGTTACACTGCCACTCATGTTTTTTAACTTAAAAAAAACATGGCGGCCATTAGTTCGGCGAGCCTCCACCAAGAGCGCTGACACTATAGCGACAGCCACTCTATGTAGTATATTGTAGCTATTACTCTCGCAAGTTTTCTTGATACACGGGCTCCCTAGTCCTCATCAAGTGCGGAATAGCACGACACGTTGAGATACTTAGGTTCGACTCGGATCGGCACGTACCAATTACAATGGTGGCAACAATCACTTCGTACTTTCAAAACAATCGTAGCATTTCTCGTGGCACGCTTTGGCGAGTTAAGTTCATGCTCACAGTTGGTACGACCTTTTAAGTCGTGACGTAGCCAGAGCCTTCCTCTCCCCGCACCCCTCACTATGGAATATCAAGAAAACTTGCGCGTATAGTACTTGGTCTTCAGAGTAGAAGAGTTACGCGCGCATCGCAGCCACCGAACGAGAAATCCCAGTGTATGGTTTCAATGTGTGTCGAGATGTAGTGTATGAAGTACGCTTTGTTATTTCTAACAAAACCTTTTTGAAACTAAATTAATTCACGAAAAATGATTAGGGTGAGTGTTCTAATTATCGCCCCTGTGCCTAATATCTCCTATCCGTGTATTCAAGTAGCCAGGTGCTCCACATATGGTTTCTTATGTGAAACATAGTTCTGGCGTATGTAACGTCAACCATCAATGCAGTAGTTGTTGTTACAGCTACAGTGTAGCGCCTGAGATAAAATTAATAAAGTAAGTAAAGTCAAGATATTAAAATAACGTGTACTTTGAAACATTTGATGATAGTTTATTTACAAAATCCTACTTCATGTAAGAAAAGGAAAATAGTCACTCCAGTCCCGTTGATGGTGACCAGATAATGCCAGAATTAATGCATTTTGTCTTCCAGTCAGTGATGACGAGTTGGCCATACAGATGGTTAGTGAACATATGCAGAATGCAGGAGAATAAACCTCATTCCCATCTAGTTCAATAACCGACGCCGTGGTTAACGCGGTCAGGGTATCACCTGAGGATATAAGAGCGGTACCTCAAATAAAACCACCTTCACGAAAACGAACGGGCGGGGCGAGTGTAGTTTTAACCAACTCTCCGTACAAGAAAAAGCTGGAAAACTTTTACTGTGAAAAGCAAAGTAGTTCACAAAAATGTTCTAAGCCATCAACCAGCGGAAAACAAAGAAAGATACATGTCGACAAAAAAGAAAAACCATGCCGACAAAAAAATAAATGCTGACAGTGAACTTTTAAGTGATATTTCTCGTGGCTTAGGTAGTGATAATGACAAATATATTTGTGATATTGAATTGATGCCCCCCCCCATTTGTACACTCTTCAGCGAACACAATTCAGATGACTTCTCTGGGCACCAGTGGCTACTCTGCTCCACATGTTTGAATTGGAATCATAAATTTTGTGGTGCAGCAAGTAGGAAAGGAAAGAAATGTGTGCACTTATTGCAGAAACACTTTAAAGATAACTTATCCAGCATCAAAAAAAAGTATTTAACATTATTTCAAAATATATTTTCTAGCATTACAAAACTTTTAATCTAGGATTTTAAAAAAAATACAATACCAACTATTTGTTTTGTTTTGACATGCCACCTAATTCCGCCTGGTGGACGGTAATAGGACTAGAGGTAGGCGGTATTAGGAACCAAAGAACGAAAATTTAAATTTGTAACTTTTTAAAAAATAATTAATATTATAAACTGAAATTGGTTTCGGAACGATTTTACCTCAGGAAACCAAAGAAGGATTGTTATCAGAGTTAATCATTTTAGTAGCTTGATTTTCCAACTTAACAGACTGGGATACACAAAAATAGTGTTGTCGATATTTGGTACACTGACCCTACGTGTTGTACTGATGCGTAAATTGAAAAGAGAAAGAATTGAAGAAAACTGTCGAACAATTCTATTTTAAAATATAAGAGCTTACTGATATATCCTTCATAATGCCCCCTTCGGGCCTGGGAACACCGCTAGCTTCGAAAAGTCGAATTAATCCGATCCTAAAGTGCCAAATACATACACATCATCATCATCATCATCATCATCATCATTATCATTAGTTTTTTTTGGCTCTGAGTTTTCAGATCTCTCTTCAATACCACAGCCGCACAAAAAATGTTTTCCTGTTTGGGGATCAGACCATGTTTTCTGTATGTTTTGGGGGTCGCTAAATTCGGATCCGGTGTCCATTTTACTCCACATCATGTTTTTGACATAACTCAAGAATATAAAAAATGGAAGATATTTCTAACCCATGGGTCAGACGTATATGTTTTTGGGGTCGCTAAAACCAAATCTGAAGTCAATTTAACTTCATCACATCAAATTTTTCACATATCCTAAAAAAAAGTAAAAAAACCTGTCTGTTTGGAGAGGTTAGTGATGTGGCGATGATATAGGCAATCTGCCATACAATAACGTGATGAGTGTCGTCCCGGCAGAGGCCAATTCCACTTTCTCTATCAATTGTAATGGATCTTAATTAAAAAGTCTGATGTGATGAAGTTAAATGGACTCCATATTCGGTTTCAGCGATCCCAAAAACATAGGTGACCCCTCGGTTACAAATATCTTTATTTTTTAAATTTTTGAGGTTAAGTCAAAAACCTAATGTGATGGACTAAAATGGACACCGAATTAGGATTTAGCAACCCAAAAACATACAGAAAACAGGGTATGATCCCCAGACAAGAAGACAAATTGATGTTTGTGTGTCTGTGTAATCAATTTCAATTTTAATTCGATCTTCGCAAACATCTCAAACTAGTTTGTTTCTGGGTTATGGATTAAGGTTTTTAGTCTCTTGACCTAATAATGCCAAATTAAACAAGTTTATTTCACGAACAGTGCCAGAGAAAGTGAGACATCTTACTGTGAAATCAAGAAATCCAAGAGACATACACATTTCTTGGAGAAGGCCTTTGTTCACTGGAAGCATAAAGGGATACAGGATACAATATGAGGTACGTCTCATTTTTATATTTGCTACATATAAGATTGTATCTGGTATCCATTCATTTTCAAAATATATTGAGCTGTTTAAATTAGAAAACAGGTATTTAGTTTACTTACTGGGAATTGACGCCATTTTTCCTCGTCACACTATGAGCCTAATGGATGTTACAAGTAAAATGTGGATTGATTTAGCCAAGTAACAGAATTAATGTATTTTACAAAGCATATACAACAAATACCCATGTGTAGAAAGGTGCCATTCTTACAAATCATACTTTAATTACATAAATTACTTGTAATGCGCAGTAACGCTACAGTGTCGAATTTTAAGACAATGTCCCGGCCTTCGGTGTGTGCTAGGGACAGGCAACCCGCGTGCTGCTTACGGCCCGAAGGGCGTCTGTATGTATTCGTCTACTAGAAAATAAACAATTATGGATTTTTTGGCATTTTACGTTGCCTGTTCAAGAAATTCTGAGTTCCAACCAGTGGCGGCTCGTGCCGGCTGTATCATGTTTGCGCTACAACCGAAAAATGTCCCCATTATACAAGTATATACGAATTATATATAAGGCCATTTGTGTAATTCGTTATTACTCTCGAAAGTCATAATCGCATCACAATTCCCTTGCCTTAACTGCAAATTAGATACAAGAAATTAATCTGAACGTTTACTGTGAGCCCGAATCTTTACACTACATTGCTATGCCTTCGACTTCAACGTTGAACTGTAGGCGATAATACACGAGTGGCTGCCAGGAACGAGGAGATGGGGTTTTGTGGGGAAGATGTCTCAGTGCTGTTAATCAACCGTAACCGAAGAATTGCTGCGAAAAAGTTCTCAACGCGCTCGACAGATAGCGATTTTCAACATCTTCACCAGGTGTCTCTGAATCTTTCCTGCAGACAAAAACCTGTGACGATATTATATTAGATGAGAATCGTATTTTAGTTTTCTTGTTAGTTTCCACAAACCGAATTTCTACACTATATTTGTAATTTTGTGCAAAGGAATATGCAAAAGCATGTAATCCAAATAAAGCTTCACCATGAATGAATCTTGCATTTGTTGCCCGTGAAAGTTGTTAGTACATCTCTTGTTGTAGCTGTCGTGTCAGAGATAGATTCTATTTTCGTTGGGCACGGTAGTTACATAAGTGTGCAGTACAATGGCAGAAGATAGAGTATCAGGTATTTCGTGCTTTCTATCGAGCGTGACTTCCTTACCCAAACAGCAGGCTTTAATGAAAGAGTTATCACAACATTTACTACGAGCATGGAAAGGTGTCCCGACTTTTTGCAGATATGAAGAACATATGTTCTTTATTTAAATAAGTTTAAATAATAACTAATATTGTGATTACTTTTGAGGGCACGATCCACCATTGGTTCCAACTAGTGTTTTCAAGAAAATAATGTTACCTCGATAAGAAGCAAACAATCGATATGGCCACGGAGAACAACTCTCAGCCCGCATCTGAATTCATAATGGATTCGTCGACTACAAGTCAAGCTGATTGACAAACTCAGCTGTTTCTTCAACAACTCATTTCACATCAGACTAGGATCCCAAGCTCGTTTTGAAATAGTACTAATACAATTATTGAACTGTAACTTAATATCTTATATTTGTTGAATAAAAAAAGTAAGTTGGAGGGTAAGTGTGAATCGCGAGCTAATGATAGTTTGACAATGTGGCGCGCAGTTACGTAAAGGTTGCCGACCCCTGGTGTACGCGAAGTTTTTTGTTCCCGGCACCACTTTAAACATACGCTTTTGTCTTTAATAATATATATTAACTTCATGCAACGCATCTACATTGTTGTGCTGTAATTCAATCTTGTTACGGTGGCCAAAACGACTTATGAAAATTTACAAATGTTAGTCTGGCAATAGATTTCAAAAATAAAGTACGCATGCCGCATGTGAAGTACACAACCGTTGATTCCCCGTAAGTAAACTTCAGCCGAAAACAGTATACGAAAGGTGACCATTTTTTTACTATGAAAGGGAGGACGAACATTTTAAGAAAAAAATACAACGTAAATAAATAAATCATTTTATTGATTCAAACAAAAGCACACTAATTATACTTACATCCCTTTTAATTATTTAATTAAACGGGTATTTTGTCCTCTGAATTAATATTTTTTGTCAATTTGTAATTTTCTAACAATATATTGGAAATTTCGAAGCAAGAAATATCCTTCTTACTGAATTTTACGGTAAGTGCTGCAGAGCATCAAAGTTTAATCTTGATTTTTCACTTGGCAAAAAAAACTGAAATACTGAAGCTGAAACTACTGAAAACGGCACGAATTCCGCCGATCTGGCAACCCTAATCGAAGTGCACCATAACAAGATTCATTTTGAAACAGTTTGGTGCGGCATCTCTAAATTCAGAGATTAACAGATCAATTTCAAAATATCGAAAAGGAGGACACTTTTCGAGGCCGGACATAACCTACAAAGGGAGGACAGTCCTCCCTAAAGGAGGACGGTTGGTCACCTTAGTATTCAGATCACATTAAATCACGTTTACATTCTTCAAACATGCATGAATTAAGTGAATATATTGTTTGATAAATTTTTGTAATTTTCATATTACAGTGTGTGACAAATATCGTTTGCGAAGAATCATGTCGCAATTCCAGTGGAAGTCTAGAGACCACAGAACAGTCAGCAAACCTATTTAATTTATTGCCTTACGCGCAATACAAAATAAGGGTTGGAGCATTTTCTTCAAGACAAGGACCCTACACAACGTTGTTTGCAACAACAAAACCGGCGAGTATGTATCAAGTGTATGGTAAACCAGTGGCGTAGCGTGATTTTTTCCAAGTTGTAAGTAATTTCTATTATTATCCTCCAACGACTATTGGCAATGGACAGACTTTAACATTGAAAATCACAACACCTACGAGAATCCTATTCTTTACTGGCGAACAAAGTAAAACAATCTTCCCTAAACATGTGCGAAGTCCGGGGACGTCCTAAGTCCGGGGACGTCCTTCGGCTCTGTCTGTCCGTGCTTGGCTGTGCCACGCACTGCCGTCCTCAGAAAGCAGGTCGGTGAAAGAGCATGTAGTTACGAGAGGTTGCTTACAGAACGTCAGAACCTAGAGCCCGTGGGTAAACGGCAACAGCCTTATTTCCCATAACTAGTCTTCGGAATTTGAGACACAAAAAAGGGATTTAGGCACCTAAAATAGGTAACAAAATAATGAAGTTAGTTACTATTAGGCACGAAAAGCGGCGTTTTAGGCATTCAAAAAGGGATAAAAAATTACTAAACCAAAAAGTTAAAAATATTACAGATGAAAAGTTATGTTTCTGTCATTAAAACTGATAATAAAAGGATTAAATTAGGCACTTTTTATTATTCAGGAAAGTCAAGTATTTTTACATTGACGAGAGTGACTACAAGCGTATTATTTTTTTCATTTTTCATTTCTTTCACTCTTTTACACTCTTTATTTTCAACCAATCAACAGCACAGTTGTACCAGAAAGTGAGTGCAATTGCTTGAGAAGTGCGTGCTGATTGTAGATGAGCGTGAAACATCCTCTTTATATTTATTTCCAGCATTACTTATGTTCGGTGTGTTGGATGAGAGATTTCAAGGTACGTAGTCAACTCTATATTTGATCAGAGAATATTCGCGATTCGGGAAAGCATTTTCGTTTCGGTACAACAAATTTGAAATAAAAAGTGTAAATAAAATTTCATAATTCTTCAAAAGTACTTGTTTTTGGCAAAAAATATTAAAACAGTCATCAGCCGCCCTTTTAGGACAATTAAGCACTATTAGATGCTTTCAGTAGAATTATTTTTCATGAATCATTAATATCTGCAATAATTTTCCATAATCTTCGAAAGGAATTAAATAGGCATTTAGTCTAAAATAAAGGTATGCTCATAGCGTTGGCCCACGGAGGGCGAGCGCGTGCGGATTATAAAAATTGGCTTACAAATGTCCAGGCTTGGCTATTAAAAATTCTTTCAATATACAGAAACATTTTTGAATAAAAATAGTTCCTCAATCGAATGCAAAACGATATATCCCCAATTTGATTACTTACACCACGGGTTCTCAAACTGTGGGGCGCGACAATGAAGTAAGATGCAATGGCTGTAGATGGGGAACGAGAGAAATTTTGAAAAAATCTAATATTATTGGTAAAGTAGAAAGAAAATGTTAAAATTAAGATATTTTATTATTTAACTTATTGAATTAAAGACTCAAACCTGTTAGGCTTTGTCCCAATTAATAAAAAAATCTATGTTTTTTATTTCCTTTATGTAGATTTTTCACGGTTTTAAAACTAAAAAAAATTAAATAAAATTGATAGATTTGTTTTAATTTTTGTATTATATTATACTTGCTTTTTACGAAAATATACAACCAGGTATATATTCCTAAGTATATATTCATAATAGATAAAGGGCGCGATCGAATGTTAAGGGAGACGGGGGCTGAAAAGTTTGAGAACCTTTGGCTTGTATTGCTTACTTGCTTGTCATTGATCACCACGTCTCTGGACAGGTAATATGTTAGTTTATTAATTCTTTGGTATCTTGATTTATTTACATTGCATGATTAATTGTAGGTCCAGATGTTTCCCCTATTGCCAGCGACCAACCAATTGTTTCCAAAAGTAATACAACAGTGACTGTCCAATGGCAACCTCCTCCGTGTCCTGGTCGCAATGGTCAGTTGAGGGGATATCACGTGAGTCTTGCCACGGAGGCAGAAAATGGGATAAGAATTCTTCAGACTGGAACAACCAAACTTTTACAAGCTAGTTTTACATCTCTGACTCCAATGACCCAATACCAAGTTTACATATATGCAATGAACTCTCATGGATGGAACGCAGATTTCAAATTGGTCATTCCTTTTTCATCTTCTGGAACAGGTAAAAAAATGTATAACTTTTGCATCGTAACATTGTATTTTAGTGTTTTATGTAGTTAAAACATATTTTGAACAAGAAGAAGGGACATTTATAGTGGTACATCATCACATTATTTCTCAGAGTATCGGTAACTGGAATATTATTGTATTACAACTTCTATCAACACTGCAGCCACTACTTGAAAAACACCTAACCAAACAAGCATGAAAAGTTCGAAAATAAATGTACATCTTTAATCTTTTAAAATTTAAATGAAAACGGCTTCCTGGCATTTAATTTGGATGTAGGTATAGAAATGGGCTCTTTTATTACAAAAGAGCTTAACGTACAAATACTTATCCAGAATGGTATTCGAAATGGAGCGTTACGGATCACAAATCAAGCCCCTTTCTTCGATTCCACTAATAATTGCTAGAAAGACTCGATTTACTGTAATTAACATCATGTACATTTTTCAATCATATTAGTACTCGTAGTTATTGCGCAAATATTAGCGAAATATGCGCAATAATAAAAGGATTTTAAAACAAACTTCCCCATATTATACAGCATTGTATGCTTTCACGGCAGGAGTCAATATTCTTCATGTCTTCCGGGGTGATGGGCCGTGGTCCAATTGGCTTTGAGATGCCAAACGTTTCGCCCACGACTGAGGTGGGCATCTTCAGTGGCGAGGTCTCGCGCGAAGTGTCCGGGACGGCGGCTGACTGGCGACCGAGTCAGTCCTTTGGTCTCCGCTAGCTACACAACGTTGCCACATACTCTTGTCAGCTTCCATCTATCGCCGCGCAAAGTACATTTCTTTTAAAGTTTCTTAATATTTCGGTTTCCTAATAGTAGAGCCAAAATATTATTTTGGCAATATTAAAATACAGTAAAGTCTCGTCCTTACAGACGTCACTAGTGACGGGTAAGTTTCCGATTGATTACACCGCAACAGCTGATGATTTTCTATGAAGTTCTAAATAAATCGATGTACAGTAGAATTTTTTAGAGCGTGGCGTAAAACGTGATCAACATTTATGAGTATGACCAATCGCGTGTGAAGTGTAAGGCACGTCATTATCGAAGCATAGCCGGGTCCGCTGGTTATTATTAAATATTCAGCAACACTAGGTACTTCAGCTAGTATTTTAATAAAATTTGTGGTTTACACTACTTTGATAAACAAACTGAGATTTTTATAATTCAAATCATACAAAGCATTAGTCACTTCAAATGAGAATGGAACCATTGTCTCCCGATTTTCAACCAGGTACTTTGACTACTAACACACAAGAGAGCTCAAGGCTTTGTAAGTGCCATGGTTTTGATGACAAAGTGGTGGTGGTTTTTATTTGGATGTAGTAAATGAAATAATTCTATGCGTCGTCATTGCCAACAATATTATTTATTAAAATAGCAGCTTTCGATGGCTTAGCCATCATCATTAGTTTTCGGCCCCAGTGATGATGATGGCTAAGCCATCGAAAGCTGCTATTTTAATAAATAATATTGTTGACAATCACGACGCATACAATTATTTCATTGGAAATGCCAACGAAAACTTACCACAATACCTATGTTTGGATGTAGTAACTAATCAAAGAAAATAATGGGAAAATACAATACCTAGAGGTCAGCTAGTTAAACTGTGGTCAGTTAACGCGGTTGAAAAGTTTCCCTTAGTAAATTGGGCCCTACAACGGAAACACCTTCTCGGCAATCGGGCTTCTTTTGTATCAGAGGATCCAAGGAAGATTGGGTCTTCAGAGTCGATGACTATTTTTCAAATATTGCCATTTTTAAAATTTATTTTTATTTATTTATGTTAAACTTTTACTGATATTTGAACTCTTTATAGTTAAAATGACGGAAAGGGATTCTGGAACTCAAGAAAACGTGTTCAGATAATGTTTCCCCCTACGTCACATATAGTTTTACTTTTTTTTTTTTTTTGACTGAATAAATCTAAATCAGGAGAAAAAGTTGTGATTCGCTTTCCTTTTACGCCACCAAAGAGCACAAGCAAACATTGAGAACAGATTTCAGAAGTAAATTTAAAGTGATAAGTTTTGTGGTTTAATATGCATCATTAAACAATAACATGTTTTGTTGGTATTATAAAAATATATTTCTTCCCTCAATTCGCAGTTCCAGATAGAGTTCAAAATTTACAAGTTTATAAAAAGGGACGACGAATGATAGGCATTAGATGGGCAAGGCCCTCAAGAGTATATGGAACGCTAAAATCATTTACTGTCTCCTACCAGCAGAAAGATACAGGAAATAAATTCTCACAAACTGTGTTGCCGAGTGCTTGCTCTGGATGGCCGCACTTGATCTGTTACACTATCAACAAAAATTTGCAGCCTGATAAGCAGTACATTGTGTCAGTAAGTATCACATATAATTTGCACTTCCATTATTTTGATCTCTTAATTATAAAATATATGAAGTTGGTATATTTAAGATAGAAAAGAGTGTGAAATTAAATTGTAAATTGTTACTTTACACAATTATTTTGATTATTGCTTTTGGAATATTTATTTTAAAATTAATAAGAGAACGGTATATTTTTAGGTAGCAGCCCGGAATACTGAGATTGACGAGGATGGAATGGTGTCTGAAATAATCGCCAAAACTCGAGAAGATGGTAAGAAAAAAGTATTTTTGAATTTGAAAATTAACGTAAGAGACAGGATAATAAAAAATGATAAAAAATTGCATGTGTTTCTTTGTAATTTTAACATGTTATAATAATTATTGCAATGTTAACAAGTCAGAAGTTAAATTGAACACTGATTTTATGTAGTTTGATATCATCTAAATCAATACCAAGGAGTTTGCCAGCATAGCGTGTATTCTCCTTGTAGTCAGAAATATTTCAATTCACAAATGAGACGGGGATAAATGACCAGGGTTAAGTGTTCCATTTCTGTAATTATCCCCACACACATTTTAAATTTATTAATTTTTCATGTAGTTATTATATATATATATATATATATTGTGTGTTGTAAAGGTTTTATCTGTGTTTTGATTATTCTTTGTAAAAAAAAAAAAAAAAAAAAAATGTGTTGATTCTATATTCTTGGTTTCTGTATTAACTTATTTCACTAAAAGTTATTGGTAAATTATACGCTCGTTTGTGTGCAATCTGTGTGATTTTTGTGTCAAGGGTTCAAACTTTCGCGCACCCTGAAGATCCTGTCCTAGATTTTATAAAGCTCGCCGTTCACGAGCAAAATTCTTGACACCTGCTAGGTTCAGCCTGCTACTGTGAGGTGGTAATTGTGGTGTAGGTGGTATGTTAGAATATATATATATATATATATTATATATATAATATATATATATATAATATATATATATATATTATATATATATATAATAACTACCATGAAAATAATAATATTAATAAATGTGTGTGGGATAATTACAGAAATGAACAACTTAACCTGGTCATTTATCCCGTCTCATTTTGGAATTGAATATTTCTGACTACAAGGATAATACACGCTATGCTGGCAAACTCCGTATTGATTTAGGATGATATCAAACTACAATAAAATCAGTGTTCAATTTAACTCTGACTTGTTACATGCAATAAATTATTATAACATGTTTCAAAATACAAAAGAAACACTGCAATTTTTAATCATTTTTTATTATCCTGTCTCTTACGTTATTTTCAAATTCAAAAATACTTTTTTCTTACATCTTCTCGAGTTTGGCATTATTTCAGAACCATTCATTCCTCGGTCAATCTCAGTATTCGCGGCTGCTACCTAAAAATATACGCTTCTCTTATTAATTTTAAATAAATATTCAAAAGCAATAATCAAATAATTGTGGTAAAGTAACATTTACAATTTAAATTTTCCACTCTTTTTATCTTAAATATACCAACTTCTTATTTTTATAAATTAAAGAGATCAAAATAATGGAATGCCAAAATTATATATGTGTACTTACTGACACAATGGTACTGCTTATCAGCTGCCAAATTTTGTTGATATTAACAGAATCAGTGCCGGCATCCAGAGCAAGCACTCGCAAACACAGTTTGTGAGAAATATTTCCTGTATCTTTCTGCTGTAGAGACAGTAAATGATTTTAAGCGTTCCATATACTCTTGAGGGCTTGCCCATCTAATGCCTATCATCGTCGTCCCTTTTTATAAACTTGTAAATTTGAACTCTATCTGGAACTGCAGATTGAGGGAAGAAATATATTTTATAATACCAACAAAACATGTTATTGTTTATGATGCATATTAAACCACAAAACTTATCAACTTAAATTACTTCTGAAACATGTTTCAATGTTTGCTTGGCTCTTTGGTGGCGTAAAGAAGCGAATCACAACTTTTCTCCTGATTTAAGTTTATTTCAGTCCAAAAAAAAAAAAAAAAAAAAAAAAAAAAAAAAAAAAAAAAAAAAAAAAAAAAAAAAAAAGTAAAACTATAATGTGACGTAGGGAAACATTATCTGAACGTTTCTTGAGTTTCAGAATCCTTTCGTCATTTTTAACTATAAAGAGTTCAAATATCAGTTAAAGTTTAACATAAATAAATAAAAATAAATTTTAAAATGCAATAGTTTTGAAAAATAAGTCATCGACTTGAAACCCAATCTTCTTTGGATCCTCTGATACAAAAGAGCCCGATTGCCGAGAAGGTGTTTCCTTGTAGGGCCCAATTTACTAAAGGAAACTTTCAACCGCGTTAACTGACCACAGTTTAACTAGCTGACCTCTAGGTAATTGTATTTTCGCGCATATTTTCTTTGATTAGTTAACTAACATCCCAAACATAGGTATTGTGGTAAGTTTTCTTGCATTTCCAATGAAATAATTGTATGCGTCGTGATGTCAAACAAAATTAATTTATTAAAATAGCAGCTTTCGGATGGCTTAGCCATCATCATCACTGCGGCCGAAAACTAATGAATGATGCTAAGCATCGAAAGCTCTATTTAATAAATAATATTGTTGGCAATGACGAGCGGCATAGAATATGTTCATTTCTACATCCAATAAAACACCACCACTTGTCATCAAAAAACCATGGCACTTATACAAAGCCCTTGAGCTCTCTGTGTGTTAGTAGTCAAAGTACCTGCGTTGAAAATCGGAGACAAATGGTTCCATTCTCATTTGAAGTGACTAATGTTGTATGATTTGAATTATAAAAATCTTCAGTTTGTTTATTCAAAGTAGTGTAAACCGACAAATTTTATTAAAATACTAGCTGAATACCTAGTGTGCTGGAATATTTAATAATAACGCAGAGGAACCGCCTATGCTTTCGAAATGAAGTGCCTTACACTCAACCGCGATTGGCATACTCATAATGTTGATCACGTTTTACGCCACCCTCCTAAACAAATTCTACTGTACTCGATTTATTTAGAAAACTTTCATAGAAAATCATCAGCTGTTGGGTGTATCAATCGAAACTTTACCGTCACTATGTGACGTCTGTAAGGACGAGACTTTACTGTATTTTAATATTGCCAAATAATATTTTGCTCTACTATAGGAAACCGAAAAACTTTTTTAAGAAACTTTAAAGAAATCGACTTTGCGCGGCGATAGAATGGAAGCTACAAGAGTATGTGGCAAACGGGTTTGTGTAGCTAGCGGAGACCAAAGACTTGACTCCCGCGTCGCACAGTCAGCCGCCGTCCCGACACTTCCGCGAGACCTTCGCCACTGAATGATGCCCACACTCAGTCGTGGGCGAACTGCTTTCAACCAAGCCAATGGAACCCGCACACACCGGAAGACATGAAGAATATTTGACTCCTGCCGTGAAAGCCTACAATGCTGTATAATATGGGGAAGTTTGTTTTAAAATCCTTTATATTGCGCATATTCCGCTAACATTTGCGCCCAATAATTACGAGTACAAATGATTGAAAAAGTTTACATGATGTTAATTACAGTAAATCCGAGTCTTTCATAGCAATTAATTTAGTGGGAATCGAAAAAGGGCTTGATTTGTGTCGTAGCGCCTCCATTTCAATACATTCTGGATAAGTAATTTGTACGTTAAGCTCTTTTGTAATAAAGAGCCCAATTTCTATACCTACATCCAAATTAAATGCCAGAGCCGTTTCATTTAAATTTTAAAAGATTAAAGATGTACATTTATTTTTCAACTTTTCATGCTGTTTGCGTAGGTGTTTTTCAATTATGGCTGCAGGTTGATAGAATAGAAGTTGTAATACAATAAATTCCAGTTACCGACTACTCTGAGAATAATGTGATGATGTTACCACTATAAATGCCTTCTTCTGTTCAAAATATGTTCTTTAACTACATAAACACTAAATACAATGTTACGATGCAAAGTTATACATTTTTTTACCATGTTCCAGAACGATGAAAAAGAATGAACCATTTGAAATCTGCGTTCCATCATGAGATTCATGCATATATGTAAACTTGGTATTGGGTCAATTGGAGTCAGAGATGTAAAACTAGCTTTGTAAAAGTTTGGTTGTTCCAGTCTGAGAATTCTATCATCCATTTTCTGCTCCTGCAAGACTCACGTGATATTCCCCTCAACTGACCATTGCGACCAGACACGAGGAGGTTGCCATTGGACAGTCATGTTGTATTACTTTTTGGGAACAATTGGTTGTCGCTGGCAATAGGGGAAACATCTGGACTAACATTAAATCATCGCAATGTAAATAAATCAAACATACAAAGAATAATAAACTAAGCATATTACCTGTCAGAGACGTGGTGATCAATGACATTAAGCAATACAAGCAAGGTCTCAAACTTTTTCAGCCCGTCTTCCTAACAATCGATGCGCGCCTTTTTCATCTATTATGAATATATACTTAGGAATATATACCTGTGTTGTATATTTCGTAAAAAGCAAGTATAATATAATACAAAAATAAAAAAATCTATCAAATTTTTAAATTAATTTTTTTAGTTTTAAAACGTGAAAAATCTACACCAAAGAGGAAATAAAAACATTAGATTTTTTATTAATTGACAAACTAACAGGTTTGAGCCATCTTTAATTCTAATAAGAAAATATTAAAATATCTTAATTTTAACATTTCTTCACTTCACGAACTAATTAGATTTTTCTTAAAATTTCTCGCGTTCCCTTCTACAGCCATTGCATCTTACTTCATTGTCGCGCCCACAGTTGGAGACCCGTGGTGTAAGTAATCAAATTGAGATATATGTTTTGCAGTTCGATTTTGAGGAACTATTTTATTCAAAAATGTTTCTGTATAAAATTGAAAGAATTTTTAAATAGCCAAGCCTGACATTTGTAAGCCTATTTTTATAATCCGCACGCGCTCGCCTCTCGTGGGCCACGCTATGACCAGCCTTTATTTTAAGACTAAATGCTATTTAATTCCTTTTTTTTTTTCCCCCTTCGAAGATTTGAAAATTATTGCAGATATTAATGATTCTGAAATATAATTCTACTGAAAGCATCTATAGTGCTTAATTGTCTTAAAAGGCGGCGATGACTGTTTTAATATTTTTTTGCCAAAAACAAGTAATTTATGAATAATATGAATTTTATTACACTTTTTATTTCAATTTGTTGTACCGAACGAAAAGTGCCTTTCCCATCGCGAATATTCTTCTGATCAAATATGAGTTGACTTA